TGTTCTGTTATCAGCTGGTATATTAATACATATCAATGATAACTTCTCCTTATTGGCTTGGGTGTCACTTATTTTGAGGAATTATATTATCATATCCAGAATTTTTTTGCATGTCTGTTCAGTTTCTTATGACTATATTATATTATCTATAAAGGATATGAATTTTATCTTATAGGTTTTCTGAAGGGTCTCAGTCTCAGTAAGGTATGTTGTTGATATATCTTATTACATTTTATTTTCATTTTATATTCTTTATGGCAGTTTTCTACTTCTTGTGATAGTGAATCATAGAAAATTTTCCACAGTAATAGGAAAATTGTATCATCTTGATCTATTCTATCTTCCACTAAATATTTATTGATTAGGTCATATACTATTATTATTTTGTTTTCCTGTTTGTGAGTGTGTCTGTAAGAATATTGATAATGCTTGAAAGAATTTTGATTTTGTGGAGTACACTGACTAGTTTGTCTTTGTTTATAAAGACATATGCTTTGCTAATATTTTGACTGAACATCCAAGCCTCCTTGAATTCTCCCACTTCTAAAATATTGTTCAAAATGTTAATGGGTTATTGTGTATTATCTCCAGGTAGTCCTGCCCAATTGTTATTAGAGAGGATCTTGTTGGTTATACAGTTGTTTGCAATTCTATTTACTAGTATATTTATAAAAACTTTTCAGATTGTTTTTAGCAGTGTTATCGATCTGGTTATGTTAATATTCTTTAACTATTCTTTTAGTTTTTGGATTGGATATATGTTGCTCTCCTTCCATTCTATGGAAATTTTCCTAGTCTTTAATATTCTGTCAAAGAGTTGTTTCAATATTCTAATGCTATTAGTATCCAGATATTGAAGAAGTTTATATAAAATTTCTAAGAAATCAGGGGCACTCATTTTTCTTTTGGACTTGATTGTTTTTTTGATTTCTTAAGTGTCAAATTTGTAATTCAATTTTGGTATCATTCATTTTTAATATTATATTTAGCTCTGTATTGCTTCTACCAGTTTGGAATGTCTCTATATTAAGTGTATTTATGTTTGATTCCATCCATTTCTCAAAATGCGTTCTTATTTTGGACTTGAATATTTCTGGATATGTGATTATATTGATCTTATTATTTTCTGTTTTTTAATTAGTCCAAGTGTATCAATCTTTTGAGGTCTCAATGTGGAATGTTATTTATCATCTTCTTGATTCTGAAGAGTCGTTAGTTTCTTCTTGCTATAGTTTTCTAATTTTTACCAGTAAGTATATTGTATATTTCTGATCTTTCACTTGGGATATCTTTTATTCTGAGAACTGGAATCTCGATTCTTTTGGTCTCGCCATTAATTTCTTGTACTAGCTGCTCTATTTCCTCTTTAATAATACTGTTTCAATTTTGTTTATAATAAGCCATTTCTTATATATTCTGTACAAATTACCAATTGTTAGTTGTTGTTTCATGTATTTTTATAATGATTCTTGTTGATTGGCAAAATATTATACTTTCTTCTTTTTATCTTTAATGTCAATTTTGCATCTGTAGGAGTATCTCTTGAAAGTCAATTATATTGAATTGGTAGTGTCTTGTTTATAGTTTGGAGATTCTTGACCCCCTTTTCTGATTGATCTTTGAATAATACTCATTGTTTGTCAGATAGTTGTAAAAATCTATTTGTGTTTTCAGGCAGTTTTTTCTGTTAACTATTCTTGATCAGAATGTGAATGATTTGCTCATATACTGTATAAGGAGACAATTCTATCATTGCTTTCTATTGTCAAGGTAACTGGTATATATATCGTAGTTATTATGTGTGGCATTAAGGATTGTAAAACCTAAATATAGTCTATTCTATTATTATATTCTAATACTGGCCTTGTATATGTGAAACTTTTTGAAAAGAGATGGTTGAATCTAAAAATATTCACGAATTTTAAGGCAGATAGTGTATTGATGATGTCTTTGGTTTTGTTGTTTCTGGCCTTCCTTAAAGTTCTATCTAGGTCATTATTACTAGTTTGTTGAGATTGCTCATTAGTATTATAAATATGTTTTAATTAATGGATTATTGTATTTTTTGTTTTATCCATGTATGTAGTCTTGTTTTCAATTTTTTATTTATGGTGTATAATGGATTGTAGATGATAATAATTTTATATTTAATATTTTCATTGAATGCTAAGTTAAATTGGAACCCTCTATTATCATATTCTTCTATATTGTAAATGTGTATGACCCATTTTTGTTTATGATAATATTCAATCCTGTACTGTGTCATTGTTTTTGTAATGGGGATGATTAGATTACGTAGCTGTATTCTAAGTATTGCTATTTATGATTAAGGGGAGACAGGTTTCTGTTATTTTTAAAATATCTATTTGATGTTTCTGACAATATTCTATAAGTGATATCTGGACTACTTTATTGTTTATTCCTCTTACATTTATTGTACTGATTTTTATATTATATGTTCAGTATTCATTTAGATATTTTTGATTTCCTGCTTCTCACAATCATTTTGTTCCTTGGTTGGTTCAATTGTAAGTATTAAGGAGACAGGAGGAAAGAGATGTTGTAAAGTTATTGAAACTGCTTGTAAAGTTTAAGCAATCTATTATTTCTTTTATTGTGAATGCCAATGTGGATTCTATTTGACTTATTTGTTTATTTATTCTGTTCTAAATATATCTAATATTTGAGGGATATTGTTCTGAATATTGAGGTTTCACTTATCTCCTTATCCTCATCTTCTGAGATAGCTAGCCCTTTAGATTTTAAGTTGGGACCTATCTCCATTGTAGTAATTCTTCTTTCCAGATTGTAAATTTTATATTTGACTGATAGCATATCAGTTTGAAGTTATTTAAGAATATGTTATTTTTTATTATTTTCTTATAATATCTAATATACTCCAAATTTATAAAGTAACCTGCAGATAATTATATTTAAATTACTAATAAATCAATAAATTACTTCAAAGATATATTTATTATTTAAATAAATTTAAAATAAAAATAAGTAATTTAAATAGATAATTAGCTTACTAATATATTTTATTATATAAAGTATACAAATGTTAATAAAATATATATCTCTGGTCTGACAAAGGATTTAAAAAATATCTAAAATAATTAATATAAGTTATCTAAACTTGATTTTATAAACTTGTGATAATTTTCTTATCTACTATTATTTGTTTTAATTATATATATAACTCTAAAAAAAAATCTTTTCCACAAATATTTTTTTCTTAAAAATTTCCTTTTTGTTAATTTTTGGGAAAAATAAAGAAAGTGAATAGAAGAAATAAATTCTACTAGTGAATCCAGAAAACAATACAGTGGAGGCGACCCAACTATAATGAAAACTTTTTAACAAAGGGTACATAAGAAATATATACAAAGAATAAAATACGAAACCTGGAAAAGAAACTAAACAAGATAAAGAAAAAACAGTTTTACAAGAAAAAAACAATCTAGAGAAACAAATTAATAATATCAATACAAGTCAACAATTTACTTTTCAAGATTCCAGCAATAGAAAACACATAAAAACAAGGGAAAGTACACCATGGAGTGATTAAGTTTAATAGGAAATTCTATCAAATTCAACTATTGACAGAACTACTTTAAATCAAGAGAATTCAAGAAACGTTCAAAAGAAATAGACACAATAAGCAATAATTGATGAATCTAACATTAAAATAGAGATAGAGACAAGTGAAGGAAACTCCACCATATTAATCAAACCCAAGAAGAGGAGTGGCAAATAGCATGCATGAAAAAAGAAGACTAACAAATACTTTTAACAGATCACAACTCAAAACTTCTACTGATAAAAAATCAAATTTGGGAGAGAAAGAGCCAAGACTGGAATCAAAGAAAGTGCAGTTTAAGGCAGAATGGCAAGCCAAAAGATTGCTTTTATCACCAGGAGTCTTAACTCCTGAGCATTAATTAAAGTTTTCAGCAATGGAAAAATGAAATTAAATACATAATAGTTCTTTTTGGTGATAAACAAGCTGCTGATGAGGTATGCAATGCAATCTTATCTAATATCGACAATGTGCTTCTTTAGCATATGAAAATGACTTCCCTAATATAAAAAAAGAAAACAGCATCATAGTGTAAGATATTTTCCTAGATGTTAAATTTATTAAAATATGACAAACCTTCACTAAATATAGAGAAATCATCAATGTAACTATGGCCACTCAGCAAATATGACAAATGGCAATAATAATCTATGCCAACAAAGAAAGCAAATAGACAACAATCAGTAAATAGGGCATTTCACTTAGTCTGATTCAATAAGAGTCTTTGATGCTTTATGGAATTTAAAACAAATGAAAGAGAGAAGCATCATAGCTGCTAAACTTACCAATCTACCACTTTTCACTAACCTTTTTAACTTTTTTTAATGGATGATTTGGATGCGATAGCACCCTCATTCCGTGAGTCAGTCATAATTCATTTTTTCTGCGTCCCACTCTCGAATAATATCAGATCAATATCGCTATTATCTCTGCTCAATAATGGTGATATATCCATTGGATCATTTGTAATTCTTGGAGTAGTCATCTTAAAATCACTACCCAAGCAATTAGCCAGAGCGGAAATTTCACTTGATTGAGAAGATTCCTTTGGGATCCAATTAATAATAGGGGAGGGACACGTATTGGGTACAGTGAGTAAAAGTTTTTTCTCGATACAGATATTATTTTGTCACTTTTGTACCAATTCTTTTGATCTCTTGATTTAAAAAGTATGTAGATATAATAGTAAATAACAGACATCATAATGGAAGTTTGGATACCAGCAACAACTACTTCAGACTTACTAGTTTCAAATCTTGAGCACATCAAGAACAAAAAAGATATGATATTTAAGCTAAATGCCTGTAAAAGAAAAGGCTATATACGAATTGTATTTAGAGATGATGTGTTAAAAAGAGTATTGAAGTTCATATTTTGGTTGCATAGGCATTCATTTCTAATCCAGAAAATAAACCCTATGTTAATTAATCACATCAATGGTATCAGGTATGATAATCGAGCTGTTAATTTAGAATGGGTAACTTCTAAAGAAAATGCTGAATGTGTAGTATTTCGAAATCCTAACGTAGTAATTCTAAAAAAATTGTGCAAATGACCTTGGATAGAAATGTTGTTCAAGTTTGGGATTCCATCACCCTCGCATCAAATACTCTCAATATAGTAATGAGAAATATTTCTCAATGTTGTAGTGGAAAGCCGAATACTTCTGGAGGGTAGCGTTAGATGTATTACGAAAATCATATAGAAAAAGATACATATAAATAATGGAAAGAAATAAGACTTGATTCCCGAAAATTCAAAGTTTCATCTTTAGGGAGGGTTCAGTTACCCAATTGTTTAATATCAAGAGGATCTTTAGTTGTAGGATATCTTAGAGTCGCTCGAGAAAAATATTTTGTTCATCGCCTGGTTGCATTAGCATTTTACCCTAAAGAAGAAGGTAAAGAATATGTGTATCATATTGACGGGGATTCAACAAACAATAAAGTATCTAATCTTGAATGGTGTTCACAAAAAGAAAACTCTCAGCATACTATACGCCCGGGCTTCAGTGTCAACGTGTTATCAAGCAGATTTTTGATGACGGCTCTTTCCAAGAATTTCTATCCATAGCTGAAGTACGACGTGTTATTAGAATCAATAATATCTGGAAGATATGTCGAGGACTTCAAGTTCATGCTGGAGGGTATCGTTGGGAGTATGTAAAATAAATAGTGTTGAATTATTAAATCTTTATTTTTTTTGTCACATTTACAAGTAGATTAACAGATCGGGATATCATAATAGCATAAAGGAAGTCTTTCAAACCTATCTTCAAATCATTAATGTTACCTTGAATTCACCAATATTATTAAAGGATCACGTATCTTTGCAATCTTTTAAAAATCAAATTCTGATAATATAAAGTGATCATACCTAGTAAAGAGGCAGAAATAGTTACAATAAAGATCATTTTGATAATCAATGATGGGAAAACTCGGCATTCAACCGATATAAAATTGACTCGGGTTTGCTTTATTGATTATAAATTCTTACGAAGAGACTACATGTGATTCTAATAACAGGATTTTAATTAAAGACTATTTCTCAATCGTATAGTATGAACACCTATCCGCTCCCTTAAGAGATTGTTGTTGCCGGTTTTTTAATACAAATATCTCAGTACCATTTTGAAAAATGCGTAGTTGGAAATCCAAGATATAAAGTAAGTTCCAAACCCGTTAATTTGCATAGGTGTTTTATTGATGTTATTAGAAGTATCTCTAAGAATGATACCATTGGAATTTGGATATCGTTTTCTTGATCGTCTACAAAATAAACCCTTGCGACATTACGATTTATTCTTTCGATCCTCAAATGGACGTTTCTGGTAATTCTGACACAGCTTATGTTGTCATTCTTATAAGAAAAAGAACCCCTAAATTTCATGTTTTCTGTTGATGACATTATTTTATATCATAGTTAGGTTAAAAAATATCATATTGTCTGTTGGCGACATTATTTTATATCATTTTATTATTATATCTGTTTATGTTTAAGGAGATAAGACACGTCCAAATTAGATTATCAGATTCGCACACGTACAGTAGGCACCAAAATTGATGCACAATTTAGCTGCAAAATCACATGGGCAAATAAAAGCACCACGTTTACCCTCATTTTGATATTTTTAGGTTTCACTTTTTTTTGTTTACTCCTTCGACCATCAGCTAAACACGAGGAAAAAAAAATTATTGATTCATATGGCACACTCCCATACTGAACTTACTGTTGCAGACAAAGGAAAAATCCTCGCATATATCGAAAACATGAATGCTAAACAAGTTGCAAAAAAAATAAGATATTCCCTCTCAACAATAAGAAGGTTTGTTGCCAGATATCAGAAGACCAAGAAAATAGAAAATCCCAGTATTCTGGAAGAAAATCTATTCTCTCCAATAAAAAAAAGAAACACTTGTGCAAGAAACCCTCAAGAAATGTCATGAGCCATTAAAAGATATTATTAATAGTTTAAAGGTTAATTGCAGCTTAACAACTGTTACCAGAGTATTGCATGATGCAGTAATTTATTCTTGTGCAGTAGTAAAAAAACCATTTACGTATATTGTTGTGGGCTATCCCAGCAAGTCTGTTGCTAATCTGTAGCACCTTGCGTAACCCAGATGTCTCACAAATACTCACAAATGACACAAAGAAGAGAACACCTCTTATAAAGAACACTTAGGGAAGGCAGAGGCGTGGTAATTGACTTGGTCAAATATAAGTGTCTCTTTATTGTGTTTTGTTTCTTTGGTTTATCACTAACTCTTATCTCTATTCTCAATGAGAGCTGTTTTCCTAACACATTCAGCTCTGCCTTTTCGACATATATTGATAAACTATTTATATTTTTCTAACTAATGGGCTATCTACTTTAATTAGCTATACTAATCCTAAGCTTTGCTAAACTTTCCATACTTTTTCAGATGCACATAGTTCCCTTATCAGTACCCGAGCTTTATCTATAGTTTTTTATCTTGTGACACTCAATCTTTCATGCCAAACTTTCAGGTTTTTGGATTCTAGACCTTTACATGTAAATCGCGTCATCCACGTGACCTATAACAATATCAGAGACTAATGCAATTGCATAAAAAGAATAGTGTAAAAAAAACAAGACTAAAGATGTATACAATTGGTGCCGTATTATTTTTTTGAATGAAGTTAGTGTAGAAATTGGAAAGCAGTCCTGTCAAATCAGAGTATGGCATCACAATGGTGAGAGATATAATTCTGAATGTTTGGCATCAACTTTTAAAAGTAGTAGATGTTCATTAATGATCTGGGGATATTTTGTGGGAGAGACAAAAGATCTATTAGTATTTTTTGATGAATATAAAAAAAAAAAAAAAATCAAGTCAAAAATATACCTAAAGATTTTAGAAGATAAATTCGTACCCTTTTTTGATGCAGCACATCTATTATTGAATACTTATTTAATGTTTCAGCATGACAATGCACCGATCCACATAGCAAAGAGTGTCGCAAATTGGTTCATGAGAGAAAAAATTAAACCGATGGTTTGACCAGCTTCATCCCTTGACCTTAACCCCATAGAAAACATTTGGAAGCTATTAAAGAACAATATCAAAAAATGTGAAGATTTTCCACATACCACAGACAATCTCAAAACTGTTCTGAAAGAAGAGTGGTTAAAATTTAATGTATCAACTTTGCAAAACATTGTAGATTTAATACCATGAAGAGTCAACGCAGTATTGAATACAAATAGAGGAGTGACCAAATACTAATGAATAGATCAATAAAAATTTTTTTGTCAGAAAAAAAATTTTTATTTTTGTATGTATTGATATGTAAATTTCATCAATTTTGATACCTACTATACATATCACGGATGGTACATATGAAATGTCATACACATTGCGTTAATATAAATACATGTACTGTATAATGATTATCAGCTGAAAAAAAAAAACAAATATAGGTCAACTATGATAGTCAAAATATTAACTTATTTTTACATTATTAATAATATCAAGTATATATTGAATTGTGTCCCCTGTTTCTTTTAGGATATACGCAAGGGCTTTGAGATTAGAAAAAGACATTGATAACAGTTATGATTGAGTAAAAATGAGTCAAAATTAGCATATATCTGAAATGGAATTGCACATTTCAGAGTGATGATCCAAAATGACACCTTGTACAAGCAAGTTAAAAAAGAACTTCTTAATTGTTTTTATTGATATAATAAAAAAATACATGTGACCTATCAACTATTTTTTAGTAAATTTTTCGATTATAGCTTTTTTACTGACAGGGGAATTATCTACACTGATTCGATCCTTTAACAATCCAACAATCACATCTAATACCCATTTTAAGCCTTTTCGAATAGTATTAAGATCCTCTTCGAGTGCTGTTTTAGAGAGATTTATTTGATATTCACTTTTTCTGATACAATAAATACCATCTGTAGCAAAAATTATAAATGCCATTTTATGGCTAAAAGTATTAAGTAATGATTAGCATAGTGGAGCTAGTATCAAGATACTTAAAAAATTCACGTATATAATTATAGAAACTATCCTATAGAGATATGTAATCATAATCATCATCCATGAAAGCTTCGTCTATAGTATATTTCTTTTTATTTGTATAATATGCGCTCTCAAGTTGCATAATATTCTGAAGGTAACCGATTTCAATATTACGAGGTTTACCCTCAGCTATGCATATAAGATCCTTGTTTCCTTTAATGGCATAATTGACACGTCCAGATGCCTCCTCGCCAGAAACACTTTTTTGATAATCAAAAACTTGATCCTTTGGATTCTGCAAATATTGGTTTATTTGATAATACTTCAGATACTTCTTATATCGATTTATTTGGCGATGTTTACGTATAGTCAAAAATACACTTTTGTGAACCTAAAAAAGTGAAAAGGCAGGATGCATATTTTTACTATTAGTTTTATTGACAAAAACCCAAATTCTAGCTAAATAGTAATTATGTTTCATATTATTTAAAAGTTTATACTTACAAAAAACCAAAATAGTAATAAAACAGATAGTTATGCATCGCTATGCTCCGCAACTGCGTCACACACACCTATGGTATATGCTCCTTCATGATAGAAAATATTTTAGTAATTAAATAGATAGCTATGCTTTACTATGCTATGCATATAGAGTCGCTAGACTCCTCTATGAAAAAAACAATTTAGCAATCAAATAAGATAGTAAATATTTTGGATAATTGGTATATTTTTGATTAAAAAATCGAAATCTATGTATGCAATTATAAGGTTACTAAGAATAAGGTAAAAGGGATTAAAACTATAGAAATGACTAGAGTTTACCAAAAAAACATCATCCATATATCAGTATATAAAAGCTAATTGATAACTAAATAGATAACTATGCTTCACTTCGTTCCACAACTGTTTCACATTTACCTAAAGGTTTATGCTCACAGTAATAGAAAGCAAAACTGTGATCAAATAAGATAACTATGCTCCGCAACTGCATCACACACCCCTAGGTCTGTGCTCCTTAGAGATATAAAGCAAAATAGTACTCAAATTAGATATCAAAAAATATACTAAGATTGTACCATATAGAAAAAATACACCATTCTGTATAGCCTTTGGCTAATAATAATATTGCATATAAGTTTACCAGAAATGCAGTAAAAAGTTAAAAGATCTATAGAT